TTTACTTTAATATAAATAGAACTCAGGTGTCAAGTGATATTTCAACTGAGTTATACTTTATACTTCAAACCCGTCCCTGGATCGTGTTCACGTGAATTTTCGAATATAAATCATATCCGAAGATATCCGTGACGAATACTTGAATTTCCACTAACCGCGTAGTAGGAAAACGTGTCGAACCATTACGATAGATTCCACAGCGTAGCATTGTATCAATTACTCGATACGCATTACGACAGTGGTAACGTCATACTATTCGATTTTATTTCAGATAATCGGGTGGCCTTGACACTATTATCAATTGCACAATGAGGATGAGAAATTTTTTTTTCGATATGAATGAACTAAGATACATGGAAATTGTCTCTTTACAGAAATTTCGAGTTCGTTCCCCTAGCAGGCACCCTTCGGTACCTTTCATCGATCCGGTACTGTAGACCATTCACATATGCTGGATAACGTGACATCATATTTTATTTCTTTACATAAAAAATAATGAAAGGTGTCTTCCAAAAAAAATGAATTGATTCAATTTTTTGCTTTCGAGTGAACGCCAGTGATAGGCATATCAATCAATCATAATTACCGTTAAATTTTGAAGTTGTCAATTTTTAACATAAATCTTAAAAAATTTAAATATTAAAGTAACCATCAATTTGTACATTTAATTTTCTAAATATTCTATTAACCAATAATTTAGGTAGGAAGATTGACGATTATTTGGATAATCGAAAATCAAGTCCCTAAAGTTAGAAATAGCTTGTTAACTAAAAAATTACATTTCAGTATTATCAAATATTTTATTCGTCATCAATCGAAAAATTCAGCTAATAAATTCTGTAATATTTTAAATTTGTTAAATATAATTAACCTTTGAACAATATGAGGAGATAATTCTTTTTAATATTGTCAAAATCTCTTATTATTGCCTATCCCTGGTGGAAGCCTTGTATTTGACCGATTTTTTGATTTTTTAATTTTGATTGAAAATGATCTCGAATGTGGTGAAACGTGAAGAAATGAAAAAAACTTCAATGTCAACTTAAGTTGCATTTGTCACAATGATGTTAACTTCGCGATTTAACGCGAAGTGTGCATGCATTTTTTAAATGTTTTTTTTTTGTTGAGAAAATTAATTGATAAACCAAATATCGTTGAAACCTTTTATTTAATGCAAAATGTACATGATTTTTCAAGAAGGCCGTTGATTTTTTTTTTTCGATAATGCCATATTTTCCACTAAAAATAATGAAAACCAAATCAGTAGCGAAGCGGTAAACCGGGTCAAGTTGACTTTGACTTTTGGCCAGTTTTTGATTAATATCTCGGAATCTAAGGGAGATAGCAAAATTTTTCTCATTACATTTTTTATAACCCTTAATTGGCTGTACAAAAAAGGTCATGACGAAAAATTTTCTATCTCTTTTAGTTTCCCAGATATTCGTTAAAAACTGGCCAATAGTAAAAGTCGACTTGACCCGGTTTACCGCTTCGCTACTGAAATTTGTCATTTATTATTTTTGAAATGAAAATAGATTGATGAATTTAATTATTATTAAAATAGTTGAAAAATAACAGACTCGAGTTTTCGATTTATATGATGACGAAGAATGCCGAAGTCATGGCCCTGACATTCAACTTCGATATGAACTATTTCACATGATGTGTATTCATGGATTTTGATGAATGAACACAGTGGGGAGTTGGGGCACACACGGTGCCGAGTCATTGAAATGCTCAGTCTCACTTCATGACTTCTCCTTACCGTATTCTCATTCTATTTGTACGCGAAATTGTTTCATAATTACTCCGATGATTGGCTGATGTGTGGTTTACACAGTGAATTGCATGCAGGAGACGAAGATTGGAAAAGGGAGGAGGAGATGAGGCACGTGAGACGTCAGTGTGATGGACGATTAGTCGTGCATGCTTACAATTACATATCCACTCTCGCTTGAATCGCCAAGTATTGGAAATAAACAAATTTCTAAAAGCTCTAATTCGAATGTTTACACAAGCTCATGTTTCTGACGAAGACGTACATAGAGTTCAGTAGCGAAGTGGTCAAACGGTTTAAGTTGATTTTGGCTATTGGCGAGATTTCAATGAATATCTCGAAATCTACGGGAGATAGCAAAATTTTTCTTATTAACTTTTTAGCAGCACTCAATTCGCTCTACAAAAAAGGTTATTATGAAAATTTCGCTATCTTCCTTAAATTCGGAAATAATTCTGGAAAACTCAACTAAAGACTACATTGACTTGAACCGTTTGACCACTTCGCTACTGAGTTGAATATTCTGGATCACTAAATTTTTGATTAAACTAGCGCCACTTATGCCTTTTTCCTGTCAGATTCGATATTCCTTTTTTGAATTAATTGTGGATAATCACTCTCATTGCAAAAAGCAATTCAATTTTCATATTACAATAAATGATGTGCTCGTGCTATAATTCCTAGGCTCGCTAAATAAGATTTTAATCATAATTACAATTCAATTCCTTCTAGAATACATCTTAGATAGTGATGCTGTCGAGACTAGATGAGAATTATTTTGGAAAGATTATCACGGTCTAAAAAAACATCGAAAGTTTAGGAATCGTCGTAATCACGAAAAACATTGGATCGGTGCATCTCGCCACGAACTTGGAAGAATCCATCACGTCTGAGTTTCAGTATTTTCTGTTTTTCAAATGTTTGTCTCGATATCTGTCTCGTCTCGTCTCGTGAACTTAAAAAACTGAAAATCTCGAGATCCAGGCAAGATAAATGCTCCCGGAATTGTGACGAGATGTACCGATCGAATGTGTTTCAAGATTGCGACGATTCCAAAACTTTCGATGTTCTTCCATACCGTGATGATTTCTTCAAAATAATTCTCGACTAGTCTCGACGGCATCACTAATTTTAGAGAGTGAATTTCTGGAATTCAATGTTTGTTGATAATTTGGTAAAAGTGCCTGCCCACAGTTTTCAATTTTTAGTTAGTTCACACGGTAATTAATCTGTTGTTCATCTCACCAATATAATTGCGAAATGTACAAACGTTCTTTCTCCACTCCAATATTTTTAATACACAGTCAGAAAATTACTCTTCAAATTCCGAGTAAAAAATCTTGAAATTTTTTACAACAAATTATTTATATTGAATTTCCATTGATCTTGTTCTTGATGAATCAGTCAATTTTCTTGAATATTCAATGAAATTTGATTTTTCAGGTTCATACGACAAGGAAAATTACTGAAAATCGTTAAATTTCAGGCAACTTTTTTTCTAAATTTTTAATCTCTTGAAAATTCAATTGAATGTAATGCTTAATTTTCACCATAGGTGTGAAAATTCAATGATCATTCATCATTAAAAACTTGATTTTATTGAATTTCCAAGATGAATCAGGAATTCCAAGAGCAATTTCTCCTGAAATTGAATTCAAGTTCCGAATATTTCAAATGCATTTGTTACTTAAATTTCAAAAAAATTCTAACAGTGTACCCTTGAATTTTTCCAACCCTCCCCGCATCTTTTGCTACCCACCTTTAAATTTTAGATTCAAGATATTTTATCGACCGATATTTTAATTTAGTTGGCATTTTTCTGACCCTTATTTTTACCGTGAGCGACGAGATGAGATGAGACGCGTCGAGACGAAACGAGAAACTGCGAGAGAATATTCCGACTCTCGACGAGACGATTCGAGAAATAGTAGATTATGTCTTAAGGCCGATAGGCCGAGGTTTGTGAGTCATCTGAAGTTTGCCGCACGAGGCGTCGTTAGGTCGGAGTCCCAGACTTACCGACTCCGAGTTCTGTACACTGGACACGACTCACAATCCGAGGCGATCGGCTGAATGACATAATTTATTTTTTATCACGAAGTCTCGCCAAGGGGAGGTGGGAGGGGGCGCAGAAACGGGGTCCAGGGGGCGCAGCCCCCGGTTGGGGGGGGGCGACGCCCCCCTCCCCTCCACATATCAAAAACCAAGTACACAATCGAGAAAAAAATAGCCAAAAAAAAACAATTTGTACATTTTGTCAAGTTAAAAAAATCACATGAAAAATCTAGCATTTTCATAAAGAAATTCTACAGAATTTCTATTGAAACTCTATAGATCCATTGGAGTTTTGCGAATATTCTATAAAATAATTCTATTGGTTTTTGCATCATTTCTATTGAAGATTATGCAACTTTACCATATCATATTTTTAAAAAAAGATTCTAATCAAAAATTGACGAAAAAACAATATTTTTCCTCCGTTTCACTTCACCTGTTATTTAAATAATTTTTTGAATCGGTAACGTTTCATGATTTGATCATTTTCGTCGCCGAAGTCTGCAGTAAACATCAACCCGTCACAATAGAAAGTATAAGGAACAAAGAACGAGCATGAGAAACAGGACGGAAGAATGAAGAACGAGACAATGTGAAACAGCTGACTGTAGGTAAAAAAATTGAACGCTCCTAGGAGCGTTAAAGGCAACCTGAAGTCAGCTGTTTCTCTTTATCAAGTCCATGCCCGAGTGGAAATTTCACTCATATCAGTTAGCTTGGATCTACATTAGTTTTAGGTTCAATACTGGTCAGAATTTATTGATTAGACTTTCGGATCAGGATCTGATGAGATTCTGAATGGAGTATCTGTATCCATTGTGGCGGAGTGAATTGTGATCCTATTCTGATCAGTCAAATCTCGACTAGGTCCGTATCGGATCCGGTACTGTTCAGGAAGATCGAATCCTAAAATTGTGACCAGGCATGGACCCAAACAAGCGTTACATTTCTGATCCAAAATTGATCAAAATCAGTTTTTACTGGTCAGTCTCTTATTCTATCCTAATTTGAATTTCCACTCGAGTGGCCGCTAATCGCCATCTATCGGCCGCAAAACAGGATGATAGGTGACAGTTAGCGGGACTCAATGATGAAAATGCATTTCTCGCCTCGTCTCGGGGCATAACTACGCACAGCATCCCTCCATCCACGTAATTTCCGTTTTTACCTTTAATCTCCCGAATATGTGCGTCATATTCACTCCGACTCCTCACATACTCCATCCTGGCAGACACATTCTGGAAGCTCTGATTATGAAACTCAGCATACCACTCCGAGCCCGCCCTGTCCTCGCCGGACCGCTGCTCAAGGCTCTCCTCAGACGGAAATCTAGCAAAACTCGTGACCGAGCTTGACTTGCTCCCATGGCTCCCCTGAATCCCATGGCTCTGATAAGCCGAATCCTCAAGTCCGTGCTCCTCGCTCGGAGTTCTACTGATGGACGTCACCTCCCTCACACTCTTCCTCACAGTTATCTTCTCAAACTTGACCACTTTGGCGCCATTCAACTCGCCCTCCTCCACCAACCGCTCAAAGGACTCCTCAAAAGAGCTGTCACTAGCCCGATTAGGTGACTCGGCGCGCTCAAGATCCTCAGTGCTCACAGATCGATTTTGCGAGGTTAAAATGCGCTCAAAAAAACTCACACGGTCCCTCAAGAGACCGCCACGTGGTGTACGCGGACTACCACCTGCCGGCGAAGGGCTCTCACCCCTCGGCTCTCTGGGCGGGGTCTCCCTCGACATCATTCACTTCTACAACACCATAAATAACCCCTTCCCCTCACTCTTTCCGTAAAAAAAGGAGAAATTGCAATAATTATGCAATCATTTAAGTTCAACGCCTATGCGAAAAAAACTTGCGGCAAAAATTGCAGCAGGAGTGGGGGTGGACCGGCTAGCCGGCGTCGCCCTTGACAGTTGTTCACAGCTGATTGTAATCTCAGTTTCGATTTTTTAAATCTCACTATTCGTCGCACTGTTATACTTCACCTCGTGATAAATCTAATCCACTGATTATTTAATTTTTTTTTCGGTACTTATGAACCTGGCACTATCACAAAATCAGGAATTTCAGGTATTGATCAGGAATGAAATTGTGTCATACCAGACTGGAATGATCCGCCGGTTCCAGCTGGAGTGACGACAGGATGAGACACTCATTCGAGAATAGAAAATGCCTTTTCTTACCACTTTCGTTAATTGTCAGGTGACGAGTGACTTAGGGCCAATCAATTATTGTTGGTTTGATAAATTCTCTGGAATGTTGTGATTATCGTATTGATAAATGCAAGGATTAAGAGGAAAACCCGTTTTCCCTTGTTAATATTTAGTACAAAAATCTCGAGTTTGATTCAAGGAAATTTAAACTAAGGGCTTGGTTCCTTCCCCCGTAGTGGAATAAAACGCAATACCGTATACGGAATGTAACGTGTGCAGCTCGCTCGGGCGCCGGTTCGATACTGCTAGCGGTAGTAAAACGCTTGGTAGAAGTTGTGGCGGCGGGGAGGCACAATTCCACGGCCACGGAGTCGCTGGGAGAAATGATATTGCATTGCCATAGGCCATCCCGAATTTTTTGTCCTTGCGGTCTACTCAATACATGAAGTTTATCTTGAGGTGTCACTTGGGGAGTGGAAAAATTCGGGAATATATTATTGATATTAATTTTTAGGTGAATTTTTATCCGATAAATTCTGCACCCACACGAGTACAATGGGATATTCAATGTCAAGCCGCTCCACAGCAAAAACGAATGTCTCAATTGCGCACATCTTTTGCAGACATTTTTCAGACACTAAAAAACGTCTGAACAAAATGAAAATTCATCTGAATTTTAAACACGAATTAAGATGTTTAGGCACCTGTTCGTCGGAAATTCAGAGAAATTTGCATTTTATTCAGACATTTTTTAGTGTCTGAAAAATATCTACAAAAGGTGTGTGGAATTCGGACATTTGTTTTTTGCTGTGTCAATCCTCGATCCGCACCCTCTCTAAATACGGAGAGAAAAATTCAGTAAAAATTGCCAGAAAAAAAAGTAAAAATTACGTTGCGAAACGTAATCCGCGAGCGAAGTAAAATTCAATAAAAAGTGTGAGTCGGAACTGAAATTGTACGAATCGCCACGTAAATTCTACGATTTGTTCCGTAAAAATTAACCACCCGCCTGATGACTCACCGCTGTGGGGACAGCAAGTCGTTCCGTAATTTTTCCCCAACGATTGAGAAATTTTACGGAACGGGACGTAGAAATAACTCACCAGCTTCAAAAAAATTGTTGAACGTTCAAGAATTTTTTATTTGGAGGCATAATAAGTCGGGAAGTTTCTGTAAAATTTTACTTCTTCGCGGAAAAATTACGTGACAATTTCGTACTTTGTTCGGTGATGAACCTGAGAATTCACTGAACGTTTCAGATTTCTTCTCTTCTATTCCTATGAAAATTGCCGGAATACGATTTCCCATTGAGGATTACGTGAATTGTTCCGTAATTTTTACGGAATATTTCTCTCCGTGAAGGGAGCGGGGATTTTTCACAGGGGCTTGAAATTCATCAAATAATTTTCTCCGTGTGGAATCGTGGTTTATCGAACCTATTAACCTAAAAAAAAATCTGACTAGTGTCCCTAAATTCCTCATTACCGAAATGAATAAATAATCGACGGGCTCTTACTCACGTTCTGACTAATAGCTTTGTTATTTCCTGATGTCAATTTCCCTAAAATTGGAAAAAACATTGAAGTTCCATCAATTTAATTGATAGCCAGTATTAAATTCTCGTTATCATTATAGAACTTTCTTCTGAATGCAATAAAATCGCTGCTGTAATTGACTTTGCCATCAGGTTATCAAGGACTCCGTCACGAGTAGAAATTTCAACGGGGTCAAGGGAGGTCCCGATTGGGTCCTTCTGAGATGCACTCGATCGTGTCTCTGCTGCAACGCCCGGCAGAAGAGGGTCATGGGGGCCCTGATCAACACCCGATTAAATTTTCTATCTACGGAGAGAAATATTCAATAAAAATTACGTATCTTTTACGTAATTCCAGAGCGGAATGCAGTTGTAGGAAATTTTACAGAACTGTCACGTAATTTTTAGCTAAAATCACGAAATTTTTCCAGAGCATTCCGTAATTTTTACCTGAATCTCCTGTGAAAAATTACGATACCGTCACTTAAAGTAGCTTTGCCCTTCGGCCGGGCTACGCTGTACTTTTGGATATTTTCAGTTTTTTAATTTTTCAACTAAATTGCGTGGAAAAAATTTGAAAAAATTCATACCCAGTCAGTATTATCTAAATTAAATTTTGCAAAATATTGATATTTTTTCAAACATTTCTCTTATAAATAAATAATAAAACTCGTTTGCAAAACGGTGGATTATTTTTAAATTCTTGATTTTTTCACATCTAATGAAAAAAAATTCAGATTTTAATCTTTGATTACAATGGAAATGTTGATTTTCACATAAGACACTGGGTTAAATCCTGATTTTTAAACATTTCTTCTTTGAAAAACCAAAACGATAATTAAATTGAGAAAAAAATTAGAATTCCGAATCTAATCGAGTTTTCTGCAATTTTTTTACAGTTTTCAATAAGCTTTGAATTTATCGTAATGGTAGAGCTACTTTCAATTTTCTGAGTCGATTCCATCGGCGAGCGAACTGTGAGTTCCGGAATTTTTACTGGACATTTCTCTCATAAACAAATCCGGAATTTTTACCGAACATTTCTCTCATAAACAAATGCTAAAAAAATGAAGGACTATAAAAAATAGTATGAGAAGTCGACTACAGAAAAGCCAAACAATATGTCCCCTAACCGGTATTTAAACCAGTTTCTTTTTCTTGTTCGACACTCTACCGTTCAGCTATCGCGTCATTTCTGACAATCCTAATATTTCAATGTCGTCTACATAGGGACCCTGCGCTGCATTCCATACATATTTTTGTGATAATGAAGTCTCTTCTGGATTGAGAATACCCAAGCACTTTAGGTTCGTTATTTTTTGCTGAAATCCTTTTTTAATTTTGAAATTGCACATCTGGCCTCCTATTTAAGCTCCTATGATCCTAGGTTTCCGGAAATATTGCGACGACCTTAGTATTTAACCTTTAAAGGTTTGAATTTGATTTTTTCTTTTGAACCGTTGAGCAACATTTTAAAAATATGAAAAAAAAAAAACAAGCAGGGGTTCGAGCCCATCCGACAGAAGGCATGTGACCGTTACTTTTTGCGTTATTAGTCCTTTTCTTTTTTTATTTCTACCAATTACATTGGTAGTAAGCTTCCGAATGGATCCGTAGCAGTTCCCTGGCCTTGTGACAGGTATGCAACCGTAACCACATGCTACAGGATGTCTACAGGAAGATATTCAACCTTTTAATGAAATAGATTTTTACAAAAGGTTGAATATCGCCGAAACTGCTCGGCCGATTGCGCCTATCCAAAATACGAATCTTCAATATTGTAAGAGGTATAATCACACCAAATTCCAACTTACCATTTTCATTTTTTCTCAAAATATCGTGCGTACAAGAATGAAAAAATTTAAAAAACGAAAAAACGGGAATATCTCTGATTTTTTGTATGGACGGGTATACATATTTTGATTGATCTAGATGGTGGCCACCGAGACAAGTATTTTGAAAAAAAAATCGAAATCGGGCCACTAGTTTTGAAGATTTTTGCGGAAAACCATTTAAAAATGAATCGCGTTTTCTCAAAAACTATTCCATCGATCGGGCTGAAATTTTGCACAGAGCTAGTCTTCATTAGGACCTATAATTTGACAATATTTTTTTTTCAGATTATATAATAATAAAAAATAAATGATTATAGGTCAAAATTTCTTCAGATTTTCTGGAATTACTTTACCCACTTAATTACTCAATTTTCTAAGAATTGACCACTGGGAAGGTGGCGGTGGACGTGGTCACATACAGATACACTGATAGAACGGATTAGTTATTGTTAACGAATGGATTTTGGTCGGAGGTTAGGGTCTATTCGGTCCCACCAAATGTTCATTCGTTGATAGTTAACGAATGTATATTTGAGGTGCCTTGTTTGAGTTGACTTTCGCCATTCAAGTGAACCATTCGTTAACTATTAACAAATATTCATTTGGTCATATTCAATTCTATCATTCGTTAATAGTTAACGAATCTCGTTTGGAATAAATGAATCATTCTATCAGTGTACGGTCGCCAAACTTCGTATTTTTACGTTTTAGACCATTCTACATCATTTCCAATCAAAATTAGAGAATGTGAAAATCGAAGAACTGCAATTTTCACTTTTTTGCATTCGGAAGCAACAAAGTGAAAATTTGCATAATTTTCAATATTTCAACCTTTCTTTCATGAATCATTTAGTCATTCTATAATACCCGGTGGCTTGGCGTAGTGGGTAAGTTCGTTGTCTCACATGCGAAAGGTTTCGAGTTCAAATCCCGACCGGGTAGAATGGTGCGATCTAACCATTTAAAGTCTATTGGATTATGTGTAGGAATACTCAATAAAAACACATTAGTTTTATTCTTCAAAGTAAAACTCTTTAATGATCGCACGCAGAAGGTATATCTTTCTCCAACGAAGTCTCTAGGACGACTAACTAAAAGTCATGAGAGTTTTCACTCTCTGGACCCATTTGACAAAAGGCCCTTGTTTCAATTTTCTTCAGCCTCTCCTTTGTGACTCACCATGAGGACTGTTTTTCTTCACGTCTCTATTTTCTAAG